ACTCAGCACCACATAATATAAATATAAATAAAGATTAAAAAAAGAATACATGCAAAAATATTTTTTATTGAGGATGATGGGGGAAAGGGTACACATACACGTTTCTGGTAAGACTAAAATATGGTGCAACTATTCTGGAAAACGTTATGGATATTCCTTAGAAAATTGGAATGGAACCAGCATATGTCCCAGTTATCTCACTCCTTGATACATACCTAAAGGATTTTAAAATCAGCATCAGTGATGTGGCCACATCAATGTTTATAGCAGCTAATTTCACAATAGCAACACTATGGATCCAACCTGGGTATCCTTCAGCAGATGAATGAAGAATGTAATTTTGGTGTATCTACCAATAAATTATTACTCAGCCATAAAATGACTTTATAATTTTGCCAGTAAGTAGATGATCTGGAAATTATTATGCTAAGGGAAGTAAGCCAGTTCCTCAAAAAAACAAAGGTGAAATGTCTTTCTGATATGTGAATGGTAACCCACAAAAAAGGGGAAGGAGAAAATAGAAATTCAGTAGATGAGATGAAGGGGAATGAAAAGAAGAGAGTGGGGACATGAATAGGAAAGACAGTAGAATGAATCAGACATAATTTTACTTGTTCATATATTAATACCCCACAGTGAATCTCATATCATGTACAATCATAGGACTGGGATCCTAATTAGAATAAGATAAATGTGTCAAAACATACTCTACTGTCATGTATATCTAAAAAGAACAATAAAAAAGAAGACATACAAATGGCCAACAATTATATGAAAAAACGTTCAACCTTCCTAGCAATCAAGGAAATGCAAATAAAACCCACATAATTTCATCTCACTTTATTCAGAATGGCATTTATCAATGACACAAATAAAAATAAATACTGGCAAGTATGTGGTGAATAAAGTTGGTGGTGGGACTGCAAATTAGTACAAACACTCTGAAAAAGACTATGAACTTTCTTTGAAACACTCAAAAATAAATCTAGCCTAATACTCACTATCTGACTCCTTGGTATTTATTCAAAAGATTTAAAATCAACATACTATTGTGATACAGCCATATCAATGTTTATAGCAGAACAATTCACAATAGTTAAGTTATGGAGCCAGCCCAGATACCTGTAAAGAAATGAATATTTAAAGAAAATGTTTTATATATGCACAATGGAATTTTACTCAGTTGTAAAAAAAGTAGGAAATTGTATTATTTGCCATTAAATGGATGGAACTGGAGAACATTATGCTAAGTAAATAAGTCAGCCTTAGAAAATCAAGTGTAAAATGTTTTCTCTCATATGCAGAAACTGAACTGAAATAAAGGAAAAAAGTGGGTGATCACATGAAAACACTAGAGATCAGTTTAGTAGTGGAAGGAATTGAGGACGAGAAAGAGGAACAGGGAAAGAGAGAAATTGTGGAAAAAAATTGACCAATCATATATAAATATACCATATTGAATTTCACTTTTATGTATAACTGAAAAGCCATAATTTAAAATACACAATATATATGTATGCACATACATATATAAATACACACACAAAAAAACACAAAGAGACGAAAGATCAGTGGAATAGAAGAAAAGGATAAGGGGAAGGGAGGAGGAAATGATAAGATGAAGTACTGGGTACTGAATTAAAAAGAATTACATTCCACTCTTAAATGATTATGACAAATGAACCCCAATATTAGACATAAATATAATGCACTTGTAAAAAATGTTTTAAGAATAAAAATTGATGTGGTATTACACAGTAAGGAAATTATAAATAGTATATATATATATATATATATATATATATATATTTCAAAAGTTAGAAGAATTTTTACAATTGTCACCAAAAAAATGTAAATATTTGAAGAGATAAATATTTTAACCTAATTTAAACATTGCACAATGTATTCAGGTATCAAAATATCACATGGATCATAAAAATACATAAATTTTTATGTTTTATATTAGGTAAAAGTAAAGTTGATTTAAGAATAAATTAAATTAAACATTGAAATGAAGGTTCTTATGAATTATTCTGTGTTTTTTTTTTAGATTCTATGATTTCTATTTGCCCTCCATTCATTACAAGTCTGATTATATCCACTTTAGTTTTGTATTTTCTGTATTTTTGACATTCTGGCATTTGGGAAGGTTACAGTCCATACTTAAATGTAGCACTGGACTAGGCTAGGATAATGTCTCTCATATATAAGCCACCAAATTCTGAATCTTTAGCCTCAATAATTTTCTTATCTAATTCTTATACACCAAAACAGGTATTCTGTCCCTAAATCAACACAGAACCAGGTACCAAGAATCTACAGACCACCTCTATAACCCAAAGCCCACTACAAATATTCCTACTAGTCAATATCCTAAAGTGTGTACCATTCCTTGCCTTATCTTTCCCACAAAAAAAACTTAATAAAGTCTCTGGTCTAAACTTTGCCTTTACCACCTCTTTTAAACATGGGACTTCCTCCTGTAAACTTTCATGGCATGAAGTGACGTACCCTATCTGGGACTGTGAATATAATAAACTTTTTCCTTTATACCTTTTCTTATTTTATCCTGTGGCCATACCATATCCAATATGTACACTCTTAGAACAAGAATTTAGTATAAGTCTTTTTAAATATGCCACAGGGAAGTCTATTTGTTTGTTTCAATTATTTGTACAAATAGAATTTTCAAGCAGTTCCAAGTTGGATCATGGACAAACTACATGCTTTGGTGGTGTTCAGTCTCTTTCTAGGACATTTAAAAATATTTTGCACATGAAAACAAAAATGCTTAATATTAAAAATAATATGGGTTTCACAAATTGATGAGAGATTTCAAGAAAAAATTACAAAAGACTGATGGATGCAAATGTCAAAATTTGCCATTATCTAAAATATGCCATCAAGTATTTGTGAAAAAAGTATAGTGAAACTTACTGTTGAACCTCTGAAGAAGGTTACATTTGACATACATAGTAGGTATTTTTGTTTTTTAAATTTTATTTCCAGAAATATCAGTCTTTTATGAACTATGAAAACTGTACCTATCTACATATCTATGTCCGTATTATATTTTATTATATATAATTATATACATATAAGTGTTGCACAAAAATTACATTATTGCATAATATAATGCATATAAAATATTAAAAGCTATATACCTTATCAGTCTTGATCACAGAAATACCCACTACTCATGTGTAGCTAATAAAGAAAAATAAAATTAAAAAAAGAAATACCCACTACTTCATATCTAGTCATCTATTACTGAATACTTTTTCTCCTTGGATGTGGCCCCATCCTCCATTCTCATAAAGTTATTAATTTCTCTCTCTTTTTTCAATTTCCATCAAAATCAGACAAACTATTTAATCACCACAAGTTTCTGTCACTACCATAGTTTTTGAAGGTTGTTCCTTTTTCTTCACTTCTGTTTATTATTAGTAATCTCTTCTATAGTTTAAACAATTTTGAGTATAGATTAAAGAAGAAAAACCTGAGAGTATGTTTATTACATAAAGAGATGACACTCCACTCAGGTAACAAGGCAGTGATGTGTGATGCTGCTAGTAGCCAAAATAGTACTTACACTGTGGGATATGCAGCTACTAATAAAATTTAGTTTAGTGATTCTTCTCCCTTATCATATAGTATTATGGTATACTACCATTAGGCATTTTACGTTGTTCTAAATTTAAGGAAGCCTACTTATGCACTGCCAGAGTCAGAGATACAAGTAACAGAAATGGCCAAGCACAACCAAGACAGTGAATAAAGCAATTTTTTAGACAAACTTAAAAAAATCTTATCTATGAAGATTCCTATATAGATTGAGAACTGATGAGTTTATACAAGCAATGACAACCCTGGAAGTAGCAATGTATAGTAGATGAAAGAAGACATCTTAAAGTTTTGAAGTTATATAGAGACTACAATAACTCTAAGAGCTTTGTACATCAAGAATTGTGCTTCTAATAAGCAAGTCTTAATCCATTTTAGATTTGTGAATGGATAAGTAAATAATAATGAAAATAACAAAGAGAAAATTTCAAATGTATCACCACAAAAATTATAAGGCGATATGTCAAGATCATTGTACTGTCATGTGTAACTAATAAAAAAAAGAAAAAAAAAAGAAATAGGAAAAAAAATATAAGGCAGTGAGCAATATGGTAATTGAATTAATTTGATCATTCCATATATATTACTCTATATGCTATGTGTTTATATATATATTATATATATATATAATATATATATATATTATATATATATATAAAACCATGTTTAATCCACAAATGTAATAGATTTATGATTTTTTCAGTTGAAACCAATACTAATTTAAGAAAAGACATTTTAAAAAGACAAGAAAATCAATATTCAACAATTAGAATAAAATATATATTCAGGAGGATTACAAATTTAAGACTAATTGCATATATATATGCAAATAATATGAAGAATATTTTGAAATATCTGTATATCTATAAGAAATTAATGTATCTTCTATAGAATCAAAGATTAATAGTAAAATAATGAGGCACCACTGTTCAACATTTAAATTCCTAAAAGTTTGTGAATTATTATATTCAAATACTGATGACAGTTGAGGGTTCTACCATACCCCAGAAAGGCTTCGACTTGGTGATATCCCTTATAGAAAAGGAAAAATCAACTTGAAAGGGAGGCAGGGGGGTTCCTGAGTTCTCAACCAGCCTGAGCCATATAGCGCGACCTCCTCTCAAAAGAAAAGAAAAGGAAAACTCAGACGTTGGGAATAGTTTCAACAGAAAGGGCCTGTTGTCAGGGGGCAGGGCCAAAGGACTTGAGGGGCGGGACAGACAATGAAGAATGTGGGGCCTCCTCTGTGACGTTTGAGACTGTGCCAAAGGCTCCAAGTGCATCTAGGGATTAGGCAGTATTGGCCAGTCACAGCAATGCCATGACTGGGAAGCCTCTACAAGAGTCTCTTTTAGGGGTTCTGGGAGGTTTTATCTATGGGGATCCTAAGTAGCAGGATCTTGCGATGCAGAGAACCAGGTACCATAGATCCGCAGCAGTCTGAACCCACAGCGGGTCCCAGTTACATATCTAGCAGTCGGAAGCGTAAGCAGAGTGGTGGGTATTGTTCGGGCTTAAAATCTGACACCGAGAAGTTTCAGGACCAGGGAGAAAATCTACAGCAAGTCTTCAGCACCAGCCACAGAAAAAAAGTTAAGATTACATCCAAGTATGCTTACCAAAATTTATTTTTGAATGGGGAAAACAGTGACATCAAAATCCGTGCTCTGGGAAAAATATGGTATTTACACAAAATATTTTTATATCAATCAGATTACTTTGCTGATATGTTTAGAAGTTCTTGGGAAGAATTGCACAAAGATATTATTGAACTGGATATTCGTGACCAGAATATAGATATCCAATCTTTGCACTTTGTACTAGGTTCATTGTATAGGGATGAGTATTTCTTAATAGAGCCCCTTCAAGTTCCAAGTGTTTTGGCAACATCATGTCTGCTTCAGATAGAGGACTTAATTCAGCAATGTAATGAAACCATGAAAGATACAATTAATGTGAAAACTGTATGTAGTTATTATGCAGCAGCAGAAACCTATGGGTTAGATTCTGTAAAGACAGGGTGCTTTGAATGGCTTCTTCACAATTTGATGACACACCCAAGTGCTGAGCTCTACAAAGAAATAGGCATAGAGCTTATGGATTTGCTCATCTCTTCCTCTAATTTACTAGTAATACAAAAGGAAATGGATATATACACAACACTTAAAGAGTGGATGTTTCTTCGTCTTAACCCATCTTGGAAAGGCTCAATGAAACAGCTTCTAGTTAATACTAATAATTGGCTTTCCAGACACAGGGAATGTGGTGGTTATAACACTTTTCTTGACACAGAAGAAGGAATATCATTTAAACCAGTGTTTAAAAAATTGAGGTTTCAGCATATCATCTGTGACCTGGCCTCAACAAAAGTCATTGAACAAGATGGTCTAATACCTTCAGAGTGGTTGTCATCTGTTTACAAACAACAATGGCTTACCTTGCTTAAGGCACAACAATACAGGGAGATCGGGCCTCGAGACATCAATGAAACAGAACTTGAAGGATACAGCATGAGGTGTGGTAAAAGGATTATCAAAGATGGTAAATATTCCTGGAAGTGGTCAGGTTACAATTTTGGCTTTCACTTACAAGTTATTTTTAACAGCCATTATATAATTTTCAAGCAAAATACTTTCAGTCAGCTATGTGAAGATTCTGCCTGCTTACAACCTCTACGAAATATTGCGTTCAGATTAACTTTGGTATATTTTGATGCTAATGGAAAACTAAATTTCAGCAAAACAACAGGCTATAAAATACTTACTTTTTCAAAAGATGAGGAACAAGTGGTGATGAAGTTGGATAGCATAATTCTGAACTTCCCTTTATATATATTCTGCAACTTCCTATTTATATCATTAGAAAATACAGAAAACTGATTATCTTATCAATGAGATCATATTAACATTTTGAAAAATTTCCATGCTTCATTTAATTTAATTTAATTGCTTTACTGTTAATACAATTTATATGATTAATAAAACAAATGAAATATTCTCAAAAATACAGTAATATCACAAATGACTATATTTCATCTTCATTTTATTTCCATGCATCTGTGGATTAAAAGATTTAATTCCAAGAAAATACTTGTCAAACCCAAGGATATATGTGGTTAGCACCTATTGGTTTTCATTTTCTATCTACAACAAAGCTCCAAATAGAAATAAAAGTCTATATTTGCAAACAATCTAAAGTAAATTAGCTGGTTAGGTTAATTTTACCCTAACTAAGGTGGAGACAAAATAAAGAATTCTCTCCTTAGCTCAACTGTTGTGAAAATGTGAATTTATTCACAATAATATTCCAGAAGGGAGTCAATTATCAGATAAAACCTGAGAGTAGCCACTCTGTTTCACACTATATAATATAGTGTTTTAAATAATTAAACAATGTCAGATTTAACATTATGTACTACAAAACTATTTTACAATTAGTCTATTTTACAATTAGTCTGCCCCGTTGCCCATTTTTTTTCTATGGTTTAGTAAACTTGAGAGGCTGATTATAAATATATAAATATACATATATATGTAAATACATGTGTCCTATAATTACATATTGCTTTAATTTATATAACAACTTCATGTTATATAAAAATAAATACGTGCAAAAATATACATGGGTATACACATATACACTTATACATACATATGTATATTAATATGATTGTGAAAATGAGAGAATTTTTGAAATTATTAAACAATTACATACTTTAAATGAAAATGACTTTCAATAACAGCAGTTTCTATGAATATCAAGATATGAATAATTTCAAAGTGTCCTGTTATTTTCTCTATTTGTGCTTAATTTGGTTTTCTTCTCTTTTTATTTTAATTGACAAATAATTGTGTGTGTGTGTGTGTGTGTGTGTGTATATATATATATATATATATATATATATATATATATATATATGGTACAGTGTGATGTTAAGCTCTATGAATGCAATGTAAAAAAATTCGATCAAGATAATTAATATTTATCACCTCACCAACTTACAATATATTTATTCTTCCAGCAATTAAATATTTATTCTTCCAGCAATTTTTAAATATGCATGTTTTAGCCAGAATGTGTGCTAAAAGACCCAACAAGAACAATTTTAAAGCGGCAAAACTTTTTTGGGGGCTCAAGGTTTCAGAGGTTTCAGTCCATAGACAGCTGACTCCATTCCCTTGAACTTGAGGTGAGGCAGAACATCATGTTAGAAGAGTGTGATGGAGAGAAGAGGCTCAAGATATCACACCAGGAACCACAGAGAAAGTTCCCCTTAAGGACAAAATATAAGCCCCAAAGGCATACCCCAAATGACCCACCTCCTCAGGCCACACGCTATTTGCTTTCAATTACCATTCAGTTAATCCCTGTCAGGGGATTAATCCCCGGATTAGGTTAAGGCTCTTACAACAGAACCATTTTACTTCTAAATCTTACTTCATTGTCTCACAGTTTTGAGTTTTGGGGGAATACCACATATCTAAACAACAATATTCCATCTCTGGCTCCCAAAACTGCACACTCATCTCAAAATGTAAAATACATTTAGTCCATTTCCAAGAATCCCCATAGACTTAGCAATTCCAGGATTGCTCAAAAAGTCTGCATCCAAACTCTCCTGTAATGCTCAAGGCAAACTCTCAGTATGAGCTCCTATGAAAATCAAAACAAAGTTACATATATCCAATATATAAAGGCAGAGTAAACATTTCCATTCCACAAGGGAGAAATAAAGATATAGAATGAAGGAATGGGACCAAACCAAGACCAAAATCCCCTGGGCAAACAAGTTCTGTAGCTCTACATCTAGCATCTGGGGCACCTGCTATCCTGATGTTTTTTCCAAAGGCCTTGTGTGGCTCTACCCCTATGGCCTTGCTGGTTGCAACCCATATGGCCTCTCTCTTGGCTTGTCTGCTCAATTCCTGCAGATTTCCTTGGAATACTTCCCATGTTACTGGCATTTATTTTACTTTTTTTTCTGTTTCCATTTTATTATTATTATTATTTTTACATGACAGTACAGTATATTTTGAAATATTACATATACACAGAATAAGTATAACTTGTTCCAATTAGGATCTCATAATTGTGGATGTACTTGATGTGTAGTTACCTTGGTTGTGTATTTAGAGGTGAGGATAGGAAAGATATGTCTGATTCACTCTACTGTCTTTCATATTACTGTCCCTTCTCCTTTCCCTTCATTCTCCTTTGTCTTGTCCAATGAACTTCTAATATTCTCCTCCCTTGTTATGGGTTAACATCCACATATCAGAGAACATTCTCCATTTTGGGTTTTGGGGACTGGCTTATTTCATTTAGCATGATGGTCTCTGGTTCCATGTAACCAGAGAGTTGTGGCAAATGCCATAACTTCATTCTTTTGTATGGCCAAGTAATATTCTATTTGTGTGTGTGTGTATGTATATACATATATACATATATATGTGTATATATGTATATACATATACACACACATATACATGTATGTATATCACATTATTTTTTCCATTCATTTGTTGTAGGACACCTAGGTTTGTTCCATAGCTTGGCTATTATGAAATGAGCTGTTATAAACATTGAAGTGGCTGCATTATTATAGTGTGCTAATATTGAACTCTCGGGTTTAAATCAAGGAGTGCGATAACAGGGTCAAATGGTAGTTCCCTTGAAGTTTTCTAAGAAATCTCCATACTGCTTTCTAGAGTGGTTGCAACAATTTGCAGTCCCACCATCAATGTATGAGTGAGTGAACCTGTTTCACCACATCCTCCCCCACATTTCGTATTGCTTTTAATCTTGATAATTGTCATTCTGACTGGAGTGAGAATCTCATTGTAGTTTTGATTTGCATTATTCTAATAACTAGAGATGTTGAACATTTTTTCATATATTTGTGGACTATTTGTATTTCTTCTGTGAAGTGCCTATTCAGTTCCTTAGCCTATTTATTGACTGGGTTATTTGTTTCTTTCATGTTAATTTTTTTTAGTTTCTTGTATATCCTGGAGATTAATTGTCTGTCTGAAGTCATCACATCATTAATATGCCCTCTGTTCACATTCTTGATTGCTTCCTTTGCTGAGAAGAAGATTTTTAATTATATACCATCTTATTGATTCTTGATTTTATTTTTTGCACATTATGAGGCTATAAAGGAAGTTGGTTCCTAAGCTGACATGATGGAGAGTTCTGCTTACTTTTTCTTCTAGTAGGTACAGTCTCTGGTCTAATGCCTAATTCCTTGATTCACTTTTGAGTTTTGTGCAGAGTGAGAGATAGAGGTTCAATTTCATTCTACTACATATGAATTTCCAGTTTTCCCAGCACCATTTGTTGAAGAGGCTACCTTTTCTCCAATGTATATTTATGGTGCCTTTGTCTAGTATGAGATGACTGTATTTATGTGAGTTTGACTCTTTGTCTTCTAATCTCTTCAGTTGGTTTTCATGTCTGTTTTTGTGCCAATATCATGCCATTTTTCTTACTCTAGCTCTGTAATATAACTTAAGGTCTGGTATTGTGATGCCTCACATATCAGTTTTCTTGCTAAGTATTGCTGTGGCTATTCTGGCCCTCTTCTTTTTCCAAATGAATTTAATTACTGTTTTTTTTCTATTTCTATGAAAAATGTCATTGAAATTTTAATAGGAATTGCATTAAATCTGTATAGCACTTTTGGTAGGGTGGACATTTTGACAATATTGATTTTTCTTATCCATGAACATGGGAGATCTTTTCATATTATAAGGTCTTCCTTAATTTCTTTCTTTAGTATTCTGTATTTTTCATTGTAGAGGTGTTTCACCTCTTTTATTAGATTGGTTCCCAAATATTTAATTTTTTTGTAGCTATTGTGAATGGGATAGTTTTCCTGATTTCTCTTTCAGCTGATTTGTCATTGATGTATAGGATTGCAACTGATTTATGGATGTTAATTTTATATCCTGCTAGATTCCTCAATTTATTTATGAGTTCTAGTAACTTACTTGTGGAGTTTTTTGGTCTTCTAAATAGAGACATGTCATTAGAAAACAGGGATAGTTTGAGCTCATCTTTTCTTATTCACATCCCTTTAATTTCTTTCTTTTGTCTGATTGCTCTGGATAGGGTTTCAAGTTTTATGTTGAATAGAATTGGTGAATAAGGGCATCTCTGTCTTGTTCCAGTTTTTAAAGGGAAGGCTTTTAAATTTTGTCTATTTAGAATAAGTCTGGCCTTGAGTTTAGCATATATAGCTTTTACATTGTTGAGATATATTCCTACTATCTTTAGTTTTGCTAGTGTTTTGAGCATGAATGGATGCTGGATTTTGTCAAGTGTTTTTTTTCCATATTTAGATAATCATGTGATTCTTATCTTTTGATGTGGTGAATTGCATTTTTTGATTTCTGATTGTTGAACCAATCTTGCATCTCTGGAATGAACCCCACTTGATCATGCTGCACTATATTTTTGATATGTTTTTGTATGTGAATTGACAGTATTTTATTGATAATTTTTGCATCTATGTTAATTAGGTACATTGGTCTGAAGTTTTCTTTCCTTGATGTGTGTTTGGTTTTGATTTCAGGGTCATACTAGCTTCATAGGATGAGTTTCTTCCTTTTCTATTTCATGGAATAATTTTAGGAGTATTGGTATAAGTTCTTCTTTGAAGGTCTTATAATAATTGGCTGAGAATCCATCTGGTCCTTGGCTTTTCTTTCTTGCTAGAACCTTCAGTTTAATTGCTTCACATTGATTACATTTTTTATGTCCCCATGATTCATTTTGTGTAGGTCATATGTCTCTAGAAACTTTTTAATGTCTTCAAGATTTTCTATTTTATATAAGTATAGATTTTCTAAGTAGCTTCTGATTATTATTTGTATTT